AAAATTTTTTTTTTTTTTTTTTTTTTTTACCCTTTTTCCACCAAACGAAATGAACCTGTGGCAAATGAAAAAGTAGTTATGAAATTAAATTCCAGAAATAAACATTAGACTTTTTCACTTTCTGGTTCTTTTGTGTGCAGAATTGTTTGAATTTGGCAGAGAGGGTAAAAGAACTGTTTTGAGTAAATAATATTAGGACACAGATATTTATTATCTCTTAGAAATGTCCCCAGCAAAAAGCGAAGCCTCCCACCAATCACATCCCAACTTTATTGCTTCACTGCCACACAGTACCCAAAAATATGTGCACATGCACACCACACCTATTTCTGAGCTCATGTACCAAGATATAGATCAGATTAGAGTATCTGAATTTGAGTTCAAACAAGTTTTCAACTTGGACTCAAAAACTTTAAAGCAAGAGAAGATAGTGACACAACTTCCATCAACAAATTTGAATTCTTATGACACCTCACACATTTTTCTCAATTAACTGAAGTAGCCCTATGATAATAAACTTGCCATCAAATTACAAATTATTATTTATGACAAGTTTATTAAATTTTATAATAGTTAAACAGTGTAAAAAAAAACTAAATTTAAAAAATAAAGTAATGCACAAGAATGAAGGAACCAACCTCAAATGTGACTGAGGAGAGAGCATCCCTCTGTCTGAATGTGCTCCTAGACTTTGGCACCCAAGCATGAATCATACATGCCAATGAATTAAACTGGTTCAAGCTCAATGAGTCACCCACAAACATAATCTTCTTCCCTCTATATCTCTCCAAGAAGTTCAATCCATTGAATCTACACAAGAATTAACAATCCCACTTAGCCTAGAAACACAACATACTAAAAAATGTAGAAATAAAACACTTGTAAGATAATATAAAAATTCATAATGAGAAGTACCTTGGCATGGGACAAGAAAATGGCATCCACCTATAGTTTTGATACATTTTATCTGGTCGACCATGTTTTTGGCAATTGAACTGTGGATCTATGAAGGGACAAGTAGAAGGGTCATAGAGAGGGTAGGAAGCATCATAGACCCATTTTCCACGGAAAAAGTTGCATGTTCCTTTGAGGTTCTGTGTTGCACCAAAATCCTCTGCTTTGGTTGAGAGGCAGAGCAGAAACAGAGTGAAGAAGAGAGAGTGTAGCAATGGCGAACCCATTTTCTCGGGTTCCGATCCCTCCCCGTGATATTTTGAAGGCTTTCCCCCAAATCAAGGCCTATATAAAGGGTCTGTGACTGTGTCAGCATGAGAGAGAAAGCGTTCCAACAATCCACATGGAATGTGAAAACAGAACACAACTTGTGTTGTTTCCTCGTTTCTTGGTGTTTTTTAGTGTTTTTTTTTTTTTAATTTTTTTTTTTACTTTCATGATGTGGTGAAAGTTTGAATGGGTTGATTCTTTTAACAGTGGGGTTGGATGCAATTCTTGCTTTAAAAATTGTTGGAATGATGATGATTGTCGTTCATAAAATAATGGCAACTCTTTGCCCACCAAGAAAGACACAATTGAAAATGTCTTGTTATGGATTTTCTCTTTCCTTTTTCTTTTTGCCGCAGGCGTCTAATAAATATAATAGGGAAATGAAAGATGTTAAGGACACATTTTTCTATGATATATTTTAAATATAAGTAAATAAATAAATAAAAGAGAGTATAGATCAAATTATTATTAGTGTAAATGATATTAAATTTAATTTCTTTAATTAAGATTTTGAATTAAATATTGTAGATGAAAACTATGTAGTTGAAATAAAAGATCTTATTAAAAATGATTAAAAGTATCAAAAATTATATAAATCTTTAGTTACATTCTTGATAAATTATTACTCCCTCCTATTTATAACTTTTTATATTTCAGATTTTCTCTTTTATCTATTTTTTTTATGTTATACAGATGAAGTAATGTTAATTAATTTTACATATACTTTTCTATTTAATCATCGTCATTTTTATTTCATAATTGTTCTGATTAAAGATATTAAATAAAAGTATTATAGATTTAATATATTAAAATTAGAGATATAAAAAAATTTATACGTAAAATATTGTTGGGCCGAGGGAGTACATGATTTTGAGACTACTTTGGTAATTGAGATTTATTGATTTTCTCTTACAAATTAAAAATTTTCACCAAATATTATGTAAAAATTTCGTAAACACTTTGCGATTTCAGACAATGTAATCATTTATTCATGGATGTGTGTGTGTTTGGAAGAGGTATATCTAGATGTTTTGATATGAAAAATGGTTGATAGACACTCGTTACAAGACAAAAACACTTCTCTAACACCTTTTAAAAGTGTTTTTATTTTTATTTTTTAATAAGTTGATAAAATGAAATAGTTGTTTAACTAAAATATTTTAGTCATGTGAATGGGTGTCCTATGAGTGTATCTAAACAATTGAGTGTCCAAAAAATTTAATCCTTATTTAAAGCACCACATAATCATCTCTCGATTTGACATTATATTAAATTATTATTTTTTTATATAAGTGCATTTTATAAATCTTTTCAAAATTAAAGAAGTCAAAATAATATTGTTCTATAGAAATGAAAAAAAGAAAAAAAAATTATATATTAATCATGGAATAACATTTTTACCCTAGACTGGTTGTTGACCTTTTTTGTGTGTAAAGTGTATACCTGTATGGTACTATAAACAATATGAATCTTTAGGTCTACCCTACCTCAGTTGTGATTCATGAATAATCTCTGCCATGCTGTGAAGATCTCACAAACATCATTTTTGATCTTTTGGATAATATAAACTGAGCATACCTTTGTTGACTCTATGTGAATGATTCCTTCACTATCATGTGCATGCATGCTATGCTTTTAGTGTACAAAAACAATGCTACTTTCTATTTTCATGTGCACTGTATAGGATATATATGTACATACCTGGCCTTCCATTTAGAAACTATTGTTAAAATGTTAAATATTATAAAACAAGACCAATTTCTTTTTTTGTGAAATTTTTCTATGGAGCATAAAATTTGGATGAGTTTTGGTTCTAGTAAATGCTGGGGGATATCAAGAATGAATTCACATATATATATATATATAGTTCTCTTGATTGAAAACTAGAGAAAAATATATTTATTAATATTGAATATTTGAGAACTTTCATCCCCTGAAAATGTTTGGCATTAAGAGATGTTTGGCATTGTCACACAAATAAAAGAAAATCTTGAATCACACATATCTCATCTTTACACTAATTAAAATAAGACATGATAGTTTTATAAGGTCCATAGGTATGTATCCTTCCTTTTGTAACTTGGCTCCATTCTCTTTTGTTTTAATTTGTATATTGAGTAATTTTACTAACAGAAAGTTGAAAAGGTAAGTGGAAGTTAATTAAAAACTGAAAAGTAATAAGTTAACTGACTAAATTGGACATATGTAATAAAACTAATTATTGAAATAAGTGATAAATGTAAAATAATATAAAAGGATAAAATTAATTATTTTTCCATAACTTGAAATTTGATTACAAAGTATTTTTAAAAATTATAATTCTTTTATGTTTTAATTTATTTCAAATCATTTACTATCTTAAAAAGTATGATAAATTTAATTTTTCATATATAAACATTTTTAATAAATGAAATAAGATAAAATAATGAACTTATATTATTATTTTGAGACCTTTATATTATAGAGAATAGGATTTGATAATGTTGTTAGATCCTTCTCAAGATAATATTGATTTGTTGCTTTCAGAAGTAATGAATGTTCGGACATTTATTATATATTTATATATTTTACTTTTTTGTAAAGTGTTTCTTTCTTTCGAAAAAAAAAAGGTTAAAATTGATTTTGTATTTTTACAAAAATAAAATTTTAAATATTTCTTTGAAATTTTTTTTAAAGAGATAAAAGTATTAGGTTACGAAAACAAAAGAATAAATGAGCAAATTTTTTATACTTGTAAGAGTTATTTTAAACTATTTAAAATATATAAATCTTAATTAATTTAATTTTTACACCTTTTAATTTTACTTTATATCAGTAAAAAAATTACAATAACCACATTAAAATTCAAATATAAAATATTGTATACATTATTTAACCCTCACCACAAAACCAATCCTAATTTTCTAATAATTCACCTTTAGCTTTATGTAGACACCCTTATCCTACATTACACTACAACAAAATTTGTTATTAATAATAATTGTTTAATGGTAATAATTTAATTACTGCTATTTAATTATATAATAAAAATATTAATGACTAATATATAATAGTCACTAAAAATTTATTTATATTACACTAAAGTTTACTATTAGCGACAATTATTTATTGAAAAAAACTAGTCTCATATCGATTATAGATAAGATAATTAAATAGTATATAAGTGAGTAATAACTATCACCTTATAAGTTGATTTATAGGGTTGAGTTAGACTCTTAATTCACTATAATAAATTAGTATCAAATCACCCACTATTACCAAGTTCAATAGTGCTATAAAACAATTAAAGAGAAACTTTCACATTATAAATCTCACATCTCTTAAGAGATAAGACAATTAAAAAAATAAATTAAAAAATATAAATAGAAGACTACCCTCATCTTATAAATTTCACATCGACTAGAGATAAAAAAAAGTATATAAGTTATAAATTTAGAAAAGAAAATTATAGGAACAAATTATTTAAAGTTTTACTAGCAAAAGATAAAAGTCACTAAATGAATGAAAATGAGACAATTGAAAAAATAACTTTTAATAGCCTTTAAAATGGCTACTAGAATTGCCACTAAAAAAATAAGTTTTCTCGACAATTTAATAGGTATTTACCAGCATTTTATATAAATGTCGATAATAGTATTATCCACACTGAATACACCAGCCATTATTTAAATGCTGGTAAAAAAAATAATAATCATTTATATAACTGCTAAAGAATAAATTAATCGCCACAAAAACCTAATTTTGGTGTAATGTTAATACAATTCTTATTCTCAATTTGCAGTATCATATTATTTAGCTCTATATAATATATATCTGAATTAAAGTCATGTTCCCTTGGACTTAATTATAAATTGATTAATTAAGGAACATATGGTATGAAAAGGTGTTTGATGGAATGTGATCTGTCTTCTTCTTCGTTTCCTTATTATGACGTCCCTTTCTCCATTAAAAGCTTTGCTATGAACTTCCAATAATAAAAATGGTCATGAAAATTTTGATGATTAACTAAAAATGAAAAAGAAATAGAATAATCATACTAGCATGGAGGACTCAGAAACGTGAATTAATGCAAGTGGGCACTGACCCTCTTGTCTACTTCTTAACCCAATCCTCAAACCAGTTCATGTTAAGCTGGATTCAACAATCACTCAATTAGTCAACATAATTTATCAGTGTGACTCAACATTAACGAATCACTCAATTAGTCAACATAATTTATCAGTGTGACTCAACATTAACGATTAAAGATTAATGAAGAGAATTATAATAATATCGGTGTAATTTTTACTAAGTATTACACTGTTCAATAATTTTGTATTAAATGTAAATTTTGTAAATCTAACCGTTAGATTAAAAGTTCATATCACTATATATATATATGCTTATATCAAATTTTGTTAAAATTGAACAACAATTTAAAAGTAATCAAAGTATTCATATTTTAGTATATTTTAAAATGTATATATTACGTCAATTTTGTTTTATAAAAATAAAGTATCAAATTATCTTGGATTAATATAAAATTTTGTATATATGATCTAAGAGTAAAAAACTTTCAATCTAACGGTTGAATTTACAAAATTCACATTTAATATAAAATCATTAAACAGTGTAATACTTAGTAAAAGTTATATCAATGTTATTATAACCCTCCTCAAGATTATATATGTTCATCGAACATAATTTTTAATGTTAAAATAAATTTTAATACAAACAAAAATTGATCTTCAAGACATCAAATGGACTCTCATATTAAAAAAAACATAATAGTAATCTTACAATACTAAGCTAATAGACTTGATTTCAACAACTAGTGCACTACCGTACCCATCAAACCTAGAGAAAATAAAACAAAAGATAAAATATCTACAAGTCAAATTGTGAGTTATCATGAGTGTGTGTAAAACATGTTTTTTTTTCTTCTTTCTATAAATATCGAATTGTTCCTGTGGTAGGATTTACACTCCAATTATCCTTGTTGTAGCGAGTCGGGTCCGGGGTCTAGGTCTTCTCGTCCTTCTCCGAGTAGAACGAAGTGAGGGGGGTG